AATTCCCATGTATACTAAACATTGAAATTGAAATTCCCAATAATTCTATTCCTGTCAACCAAACACTAGAATTTAAATTCTCACTTTATTTCCAGTAATTCAACTCCTATAAAATTACAATTCATTTCCCACATAATTTCCCCCTTCCAACCAAACGCCCTGTAATAAGCACTTAAATCTAAGAGACAATTTTTACATTGGAATTGTTAGATATTTTAAATAAATTTGGTTGTTTTAATTTTCTCCCAATTGTTTTAATTTTCTTGGTAGTACGTGGAGATGTAAATTTTGTTCAGTTCCAAAGGATTGGGTATTAGAACGATGACTACATTTAACAATGTTGGCGGTAGCAATAAATTAAATTATTTTTGGGCAGCACAATCTTAAGTACAAATTACTCTGATGCATCTTCATCGTGCAAACATTCTTAAAGCGTATTCCATATTTCTCTTTTCCCTCGAAAAGGTTAAATCCTAATCTCGAGGGCTTTTCATACTTTGGTCTGACATAATATATACTTAGAAGATGTAAATTAACTCCATGGCTCAGCAGACATAGCTAAATGTCAATGTATACAAGAGATTTGTCCATTTTAAGCATAATTTGCTGTTAACTGTCAAGTTTTGAATGTTGCTCTCATTCCACAAATATTATTGAATCAGTGAATTAAGCCCGTGAGGATAACCTATTCCTTATTTCATAACATGGCACCCTGAAGCATTTTCTGACATGAAAGATAGTTTATTCACTTATAGCATGAATTTCATGGAGTTGAAGCAAGGTAGAGGTGATACGTTGAAGAAAATAAATCCGATACCCTTAGAGAATGTTTGGATGTATAAATTTGGCAACAATTTGCACTTCATATGGGTTTGTCTGTATATACGGAATATAACTAAAAATAATAGGAATCTAATTTTTGCTCCATCCAAAGCTGGTGTATGTTACGTTGTTGTGTCTATATGATATTTGCGTTAATTAAAACTAGTATTTTCACCCGTGCGTTGCACGGAATAAATTTGTTATAATATTTTAAATATATTTAAATCGATATACAATTGTATAAATTATAACATCGAATCTATATATAATACAATTGAAGGATTGAGTTGGAACAATTATGTTTTTTGATGTTATCATTGATTGAATTCGAACAAATAACTGCCGAATTAATAGCTAATGTCTAGATGTACGCAATTATGTTTTTCGATGTTTTCATTTTGGGGGAAAAAATAATACATAATATCATCGATTGTATTTACACATTATTGAAAATCTCTCTGTAAACAACATTGGTAGTCGCAACACAATCATGTCCATCATTGTCTAAAGCTAACACTTTCAGGCCGTCGGGATGGGTGACTCGGGAGAAAGCCACGTACAATTGTCCGTGATTAAAGACCGGTTTTTTAAGCAATAACCCAACATGAGTTAGTGTTTGGCCTTGGCTTTTGTTGATAGTCATGGCATATGCAAGCATCAACGGGAATTGTTTACGCTGGAACTTGAAAGGCAATCTTGTATCAGAAGGAGTGAGGGACATTCGAGCGATAAGAACTTTGGTTCCTTGATGTGTCCCATTAACTATTCTTGCTTCAACAATGTGATCTGCCAATCTTGTGATGATGAGCCGTGTCCCGTTACAAAGACCCAGAGAGTGGTCTATGTTCCGCAATAACATAACAGGTGCACCGACCTTTAATGTCAATGAATGATTAGGAACACCTGACAATCTCAAACTATTTAAGAATTCAGGAGTGTGTACTTCTGATAGATTTTCACCGTCTGATTCTGCCTTACACAAAGAGTCACAACTTAAATATGTTCGACCTTCTGCAGTGTTCATGTCGCACATGTACTGATTAATTTGATCAACGACATCTAAAGTCGGTGAGAGGATCGCTCGGCCTTCTAGGTGCGACTCATCAAGTATGTCATATCTCGCGCTTGGGAAGGTGCTTTCCACTATAGTTGCTATGGGATCGGGTCCACACTTCAATAGAAACCGTGCTGGAATATCGATCTCTGATAAACCGTCGTTTTCAACTCCTGTAATCCCATCCCCGATGTCTGCAATCCATTTTGAAAACCAATCAACCATCTGTCTATCTTCATCTGAAGCTAAGCTCCGTAGTCTCAAGTTCTTCGTGAGCCTCAATACCTTGCAATTTGTCCAGAGGTATGAAGAATTAATTGTTGCTCTGACAACTACTGGTCTTGTTGCTTTCGGAATAACTGGAAGAATTTGTCTAAAATCACCGCCCAAAACTACTGTCTTTCCACCAAATGTCTTTTCAGCACTACCCGGTATGGCAAACCTCAATAGATCCCTCATGGTTTTGTCCAAAGCTTCAAAACAGTGTTTGTGCGTCATCGGTGCTTCATCCCATATTATCAATTTGCTCCTTATTATAAGCTCAGCAAGGTCACTGCCTTGCGATATATTGCATGTGGAATCTTGGAATCTTCATTCAATGAAAGTGGTATAGCAAATCTGGAATGCGCTGTCCTGCCTCCTGGCAAAAGCAAAGATGCTATTCCACTTGAAGCAACGTTGAGAACAATATCTCCACGGCTCCTTATCTTTGAGGATAACGTTCTCCACAAAAATGTCTTGCCTGTTCCTCCGTAACCATACACAAAGAACAATCCACCTCCATTAGAATCAATATCATTCATCACAGAGTCATAAACATTCTTTTGCTCGTCCGTCAATTTTGTTACCAACGTTTCATGCTCTGTTTTCAACAATTCCTTGTCATACGCCAACTCTTCGGCTATCAACATATTTTCTATCAAACCCATGTTACTTTCGTCTGGAATTGGCATTTCTGGAAAGTCCCTAAGGCTCTTCCCCCACGAAGATAACAAATTCTCCAACTCCACCAGAAGCGAACTGTTTCTTATCCGAATCCGATAACATCAACTCTTCATAGTCCAAAAAAAAAACAAAATAAAAATCAACAAATGCGTTTATTTATAAATAATGATGAGCAAATAACAAAGTTGAATAAATAGATTGGAGGCCAACAATATATATTAGTTATCGCACACTAATCTATGCTAATATGAATATGAATATTAATTAATTGGTAAAAAAATGTAATAAAGCTTAATTGTTAACAAAATTTTATATGAAAATTAACTAATTAGAGAATTGGAAAAAGAATTATTTAATTAATGATATGGAAAAAGAATTTCGTTGGGATTTTAATGAATTGGAAAAAGAATTAGTTAATTAATGATATGGAAAATTCCAACAAAATTCTAATATATTCTAATATATTAGTTAATTTTCATATAAAATTGTAGTCAATATATACTGTAAATAAATTTTGTAATACAAATGTGATTCTAATATATTATTACTTACCGTACACTAATCTATACTAATATGAATATTAATTAATTGGTAAAAAATTAATAAAACTTAATTGGTAACAAAATTTTATATGAAAATTAAATAATATCTAATGAATTGGAAAAAGAATTTCGTTGAATTATCATTTTCCCCTTTTAAGTACATATTGACTTAAATTTGTGGTATCAATTCATTAGATATTCATATTAGTATATATTGACAAATATATTACAAAATTCAACCAAAAAAAAAGGAACAAAAAAGAACAACTTAGTTATTTATAAATAATGGAAAACAAATAACAAATTCGAATAAATAGATTGGAGCTCGATATACCTGGATTCTGCATGACATGACGTCGCTGAACCTGTACATCCTCGGCAAGAAATTCCCAAACGGCATTCCAAACTACTTCTGGCTTACTGAGTGAATTTGAAGTGAGAAGCGTAGCAAATAACCTTCGCAAAGCATACGCGGATGCCCAGTAACTCGAATCAGTAATGCCGTCAATGTACTCCTTGTCATCATCTAATAATCCATATTCATAACACGCATCCCTAAACGAATTATGAATGACCCCTGCAACAGTGCGAATATCCTTATGGCTAAAAGGTCCACATACCAAATTTAAAAGACATCTAAGATAATATAATTCTCCACACCCTGGCGGAACATAGAACAATCGTCCTATGGAGTAGCCTTTTTTCCTTGGATGCCATTCACGCAGATCTTGTTTCCAAACAAATTTACTGGGGAACTCCGCATAAGTGAGTGACCGGGCCTCTTCATATTTTTTGTTCGCCTCAAACCAAGCTTTGAACTGACTCTGCTTAACCGTTTGGTTCTCCACAATCTCATTCAAGGGCTGATCTTCAGCATATACAACATTCTGCTGGTGCTCTAAGTGAAAATTTAACCTCTCCACAGGTGGGGTTCGATAATGTATCAAGTATCCAAATAGTCGCCACGTGGCTTCACATGCTGATATATACCGACAATCGTAGTACATCTTAATCTCATCGACCACATCACCATTGACAGTATTTGCTGAACTACTCATGAATCCTGCCGTCACCCTATCATTTCCTTTGTTCACATATTTGAATAAATATTTAATAGACCTGGACTGGTTGCACCATTCAACATTAATATGTGCGCGATATTTTAGGAGCAGATGTTTATTATGCGCGACGACATAACGGTTATCAAGTTCGATTCCATTCTTTTTGATTGTACGCCCATTGTCACGCCTTCTATAGATCGGGTAACCATCTTTATCCAAATTTGTATGAGCAACATGTTTTTTTGGGAAATACTTTGAACATTTACCATTTACCATGCACGGCGAATTCTTCCGGACTTTTCCGCAGGGTCCATGCAACATGAATTCGTTGACTGCGTCATGGTATTCAGCATCAGCATCTGGGTCTGGTATTTCAGCTGAGATCAGGGCATCAATCTCGTTCGCAGAATTTGCCCTATTCATTCTTTTAGCAAATAGCAAGATATGCGCGTGAGGGAGTCCTCTTTTTTGAAATTCAATCGTGTAGATAACTGCAAAAAGAATCCAACAATGAACAATTCAAGTTTATAAATGGAAATTAGAGTTGATGATAGTAAATTCAAATATGTATGATTTTCAAATACCTCCACATATCTCGCCAAACACTTTGTTTGTTTTGATGTCTTCAATCATCGCATCAAGCTTCATCTTAAACACGCGACAAACGATGTCAGGTCTATCCCCTGCTTTAAGGCCACGGTGTGAAACATACCGCTCAATCTCAGGCCACTTTGGGTTGCTAGTGAATGTAATGAATATGTGTGGATAACCGATGTGTTTGCATATTGCCATTGCATCTTGATAATTCTGAATCATATACCTAGCTCCACCTGTGAATGTTGATGGGAGTATAATTCTTTTTCCTCGAGCTGTGGGGTCTAATTCTCCTCTTGTCAACGCATCACTCAACCCCTGATAAGCTTCACATCGCAATGCCTTCTGATGAGTTCTAATGTATACCAAGCGTGCAGATTCGATCATTGTATATGCATCAACCAAGAATTGTTGGAATAACCTCCTAGAATACAACAATGTATGCTTCTCATTCACTTTCTCATGTATATAAAATGAGAAATACTCTTTGGGGCTAATTCTTATCCTGCCACCAGGATGATGTTCGCGCCATGCATCAGAGAATATAATATCTTCGCGGATAACCATCTTCGCCGTAGGGGAACAACAAAGGGTACTGTAACGGCAGATATGTAGGGTTCAATTGATTTATTCTCTTCAATTGCCCAGTCCTGGTCTCAATCAATATGTCTAAATCACCCATTAATGGGTTTAGATCCCCGACAATAAGTGCAGCTACCTCATGAGCAGTAGGTAAATTGTAGGTCCTTCCATCTTTGCTCCGCTTGCCTATTAAATTCATCTTAACCTCAACAACTGGGTTAGATTGGATCTCAGTTCTTGCCATTCTGAAACAGTTGACCAAGACATTATTTTGGTCTAGCATATTCTTTAATTCGACAACAATCTCTTCATTGATATCCCTTGAGTTACTATCCTCTCTATATAGGAAAAATAATGGGAATAGATAAATAATAGTTGAATATCTAGGTGGAATGCAAACATAAGAGAGTATGTATTTGTTATTTACCTGACAGAATTGATGCGATTGTTAATCTCATTATCTGTGTCGTAAATATATAGTTGCGCAAATTTTGGGATCGACCCTTCTGTTGGAACCAAGCTTCCAATCAAGTGATAATTTTGACCACTAATCTTAAACACTGGAGGAACACTACCGGTGTTGAGGGACCTATCGACTTTACCACCCAGAGACGTGAAGCAAAACATGTTGTTATACCTTCGAATATTATCGAGGAAGTGTCTACTCCGTTCAGTATCATCAAAGTAAAGGCTCTCGAGCACACGAGAAGGATCCTTCATGCGAGGTAATTGGATTTTGCCCTCATAGCAACACTTTGTGTATTTTGGCAATGTGCGTGATACATTTTGATTTGAGCGCTCTTTCCACCAAAATAAAGCCCCACAATAATTACACGAATGAGCCGCATCTCCAAGGTCAAAATAATGATCTGGTAACGTAAACAACTTATAATTAACAAACATTATTTATATTGTGAAAAAATGAACAGAACAAACGTTTGTATTTAGAGCAAAGAAAACTGACCATATCTATTATTTTGAGTCTCAACCTGTTCGAAATCCATGTTTAAATTCCTCTCATTTGTTCGTGACGATGACCTACTGGAATTTCTTATAATTGACCACGAAACACGATTACGCCCACTGTGCGCTTCTCTTTGCACTTTAATAAAATACAATGAATTGTTAAAAGTAATTTTAAGTAATTGAAAAAATTGTAAATACACATTGGGAATAACAAAAGGCAAAATGCATGAACAGTGAAGTATAAAGTACCGTTCATAACATCATCTAATGGATGGCGTGATAGAGACGCTGAAGTTGGCATATTTAGCATATTCAATGAACGTTCATTGGACGGTGAAAACATGGTACACATATTAACTGCAATTTGTTTTATTCAAACATATATAACATCACATTAATGGTATAGAATTTGTTTTTATTCAAGCATATATAACAACACACTTATCATATACAACAAATGAAGAAATAAATAATGAACAAATAAAGAAAATTCTTACAATTTGTGACGACAGTGGAAGGTGTGAATGGTCCAATTGTACTGTTCAAATCATATAAACTTGGGTTGCTAGCAACTGCAATTTTTTGCAAAACAAATAATGGCATCAAATAAAGACAAAATAATATTAATACGTAAAAGTATTTAAAATTATTGAATATATAAAATAAGATTAAAATATTGCTTTAGTCGAGATGAGAAATAGAATAATTTGAATATAACATATACCGTTTGTGATTGTATTTAATGATGTTGCTCCAGTTTCCACATTATTCTCATTGAATGGACTTTGACGAACATTAACGGCAACAATTTAACCGAACAAATAAATCAAAATTTGCATATAATTTAACCTATTATGTTATATTATATTTTTGAATAGTAGTACCTTGGTTGAGTATATTAATAAGTGTTGATGGAGAGCAAACCGTAAATCCACCAAACAATGCTTCATTACCGGCTACTACAATTATTTATATTCAGGAAGAAAAATTTATGACTGCATTTTATACAGAAGAAAATAAACGTGTAGACTATTAGAAAAATTAATTTGCTCACCATTAAATCTCGGATGAACTGGATTAAATGGTGAAGAACCAACAGTTGTTTGTATTACCGCCTCATTTTCTAAATAAATAAAAAAAAATAAACAAACAAAAACGATCACGACTAAAAAACACTCATTTTTCATTATTTAATAAAAATTACTAACCAAAAATTCTCTCTTTAACTATTTAATTATAATTACTAAGACTTTTTCAAAAAAAAAAATTAAAATTACTAACACTATCTCACGCCGATTAGAACGCGTGGCTCTAATCGGCGTCACTGGGATTTTAGGCAACAGCCTCGCCGGGTTCCTCCCTTTCGCACATCGGCCACCGTCACGGCACACCGGTCAGTGGCCACCGCTACCACCCACCAGACTTGATGAACGGACAAAGAACCAACCGGGGTGCAAATTCTCTCTTTCTCACAGTAAGTTTTTCAGCCTCCGATTCCCTTTTCCTCTCATTGGCGCATGAACTCCATCTCGATTCGCTCCCGACCGCCATGCCGACGTCAGCCTCACCGACGCCGCATCATTACAGCCGCACCGAGGACCTGATCGGGCGGCTGAGCTCCACCAGCCCCGAGATTCAGCTCAAGGCGCTCCGGGAGGTTAAGAACCAGATAATCGGGAATCGAACTAAGAAGCTCTCGTTCCTCAAGCTCGGTGCCGTCCCCGCCGTAGTTTCGGTTCTTTCCTCTGTCACGTCCGCTCAGGTCGGCGGAGAAATCCACGATTCGCTCGTAATTCAGTCCGCTACTGCGATTGGGAGCTTTTCATGCGGTTTTGATGCGGGAGTTAAGGCGGTTCTCGAGGCCGGAGCTTTTCCCCTCCTTCTCTGCTTAATTTATCATTCCAACGACAAGGTGATTTTGATATTTCTGCACCTCCATTTTGCTTAACACTTCTAACTGCTTCCATGTGATTTTGTAGTTACGTCCCCTCTTAACATTAAATTAAATCTTAATTCTGTAAACTTAGTAATTTCTCTGCCTTAGTAAATTGAGCTCACTTATTTGGATGTGTTCCATTGCTACCTTACCTGCCTACTTTTTTCTTTTGGTGGTATGCAATTGAATGCTACAGAATTCCACTAATGATGTCTCATGCACAAATTTCTGTTTTAATTAAGAGCGCATGATTGTTGACTTCTATTAGCTCTAAAATCTTTGCTTCTTTACTCAATTATTCTGTAAGTTGTGGATGCTGGTGCACGGTCACTCAAGTTGATTTATCAGTCAAGACTGGCTCCAAAATATGATTTTATTCAAGTGGAAAATGTGGAATTTATCCTTTTTCTATTGAGCAGTGAGAATGAAAATGTTTCTGGACTTGGAATTTGATATCACTCAAGCTTTTTTTTTTTATGTATTCCATTCCGAATTCGTCTAAACCCTTTAATTTTGCAGTCGTTTGTCCCCAATTTGAGAATGCATGCACGGGTTATCAAATAATTGAATCTTGCTTCTCAATTTGAGAAACACAAGTCTGATTTCTCAAACTGAGAAATTCGAAACTGGATTTCTCAGTATGAGAAAATCAAGTCCGGAGTTCTAAAGTAAACAGATAATAAAGAAAATAATGAGTGAAACAGTATATAATGAGATTTAATTTTGGCTCTAACCTTGATCCGTGGTCTTTTGCTTCTTCCTGCCCCTTACAATTGTTGATTCTGTGAGTTTCCTCATTATGTTGTTTGTGTGAATTGTGAAAAACTGATGCTCACAAGAAAATAGAAAGATCATAGTTAATTTATAGTTAAGTAATAGGATTTGTAATATTGTCCTATCCTATTAGGAATAAAATTTTTAATGTATAATTGTAGTACGAATAGAATATGAATAATATTGATTAATTGGAATAGTGACGAATAATGTTTTTATTTAATTTGGAAAAAAATGTTATCATGCCTTTTGATGGTGGTTGGTTTCAGACTGGCTGACTGCATCTAGGGCCCAAAAAACTTAAAGTTTGATGACTAAATAAATTCCATGGTTGTTTTGTTTGTTTTCTTTTCCCTCCGGAACCAAAAATAAGCCACGGAGAATAATTCTATTGTGCATGTAGTTTGATGGCTAAATAATGCTTTAATGGTTATTTTGTTTGTTTTCTTATTGTGCATTTGCTCCTAAACTTCAAGAGACATTTGTTCGAGTTTCTGGTTACTGTGAGTAGAACGATATACATTCTCCTCATATTACAGTAGAAGAATAGGTTATCTTTTCTGCTTGGCTACGGGTTCCTCCAGAGATTGATTCCAAAACCAAATCTGTATCACTGCCCATTTCTATGCTACATATGGATTGTTCTATTCTCTTCTGAACCATTTTACATATATAACTCCAACACGATTGTCGTTGACTCTGTAGGAATTTGTGAAGGAAGTCATCGAGACAATTGAACTTACGGAATAAAGGACATGTTGGTTGGCATGCCTGGTATCAGTGGTCTTTCAACATAGCAACAAAAGTGGCTCACAATTGCTGTGGAGCTTGGCTCAGCCATCTCATTCCTAGATGTGGATCATTTTCTAAGTCTTTCCTCTGAAGTGAGAATTAGTACAAGTTTACAGATTGCCTATTATTATAATAATTATAAGTTTAATGTTGTTTGATGAGACTTCTATGTGGTAGTTTCTGAATCTCTGCTTGCCAATTTTGAATATGTTGATTCGAAGAACTTCTTACATTTGATAAATGATGCACTTGCTTTAAGTTTTCACATTTCTTTTTGGACAATTGTGTTTGCACTTAAATGTCTATTATCCTTTCTTGGTTAGACTTCACTGGATTCCCCACTCTCTATTATTATATGCATCCGGCAGTAGGTAGTATTTTCCGGCGAGGTTTCTCTGTGTCTGCGTTGACTCCAGTTCCAACGATCGGCTCTCAGCCGACGGCGGCGGGATTGGAGTGGCTAGCCAGAAAGGTCCGGGATACTTTCCTCCAGTTCTTCGAAAGCAAGGATCACAAATGTGTCCAGTCCAGCCCCGTTGATCCTCACAATGACCTGACCCTCCTCTTTGCCAATGCAGGTTCATTTCTGACGTTCTCTGTGTCTGTGTTTTATTTTGCACTTTTCAATCCCTACTTTTCAGTCAGTGAGCTTGGAGCTATGTCCATTTATGTATTTATTTATTCCAGACACTTTTGATAACAAAAAACCACTAACTTTTGGTTATGAAATTTAGGCATGAATCAGTTCAAGCCCATCTTTTTAGGAACTGTGGATCCAAACACTGAATTGGGGAAAATGAAGCACGCATGTGATACGCAGAAGTGCATTAGAGCTAGTGGGAAACATAATGATCTTGATGATGTTGGCAAGGACACTTATCACCATACCTTCTTTGAGATGCTTGGTAATTGGTCTTTCGGAGATTATTTCAAAACAGAGGCCATTCAATGGGCTTGGGAACTTCTCACAGAGGCATGTTATCTCCTGCTTTAGTGTCTATTAAACCTGAAATTCCTTACTTTTATCCACATTTCTCTGAATTTGATTGCTGTACAGGTATATAATCATTCTCAAAAAAAAAAGGGTGAAAATGATAGAGATGTGGGAAGTTTTGCCTTTGAAATTGCTTCTGATCATTCTGTAGACAACACTTTGCTGCCTCCTTTTTCAAATAGCGGTATAGTTACCAGTAATGCTGATTATGATGGTTTACACAAAACCGTACCAAGGTTCAATGAGATCTTTCCAAAGGATCTTGCAGCTGTAAATTCTAGTGCTTCTTATATAGGAAATATTTCACCAGAGAAAACTGGTTTAACTGATCGTTGGGCTAGTAGTCTGACGTCTGCTTTGCATAAAGGTACTTAGTGGTTATCTTTAAATTTCTTCTCTATATCTCTTGTAACATTTTCTCTCTCCTTTATTATATGGACCATTCATTTACTTGTATTTGGTGTACATGATCTTACAACATATTTATGTTTTATGATAGACTCCCTGTCACCTGTGGCCAACTTGACTGATTTTTCTTCACAAGAACGTGGTTAACAGGAAGAACAATCGTTTGCACCATTCACCAACCGAGTATTGATATATTTGAAGCTTTTGATGAGGTAATAAGTAATTGTTAATAAACATATATAATTTAGAAAGCATGAGAAGATGAAAATTGGTTTCTTTGAATTCAATACACTTAACTTCCATATTAAAAACACAGAATAGGTGAAAAAACATGAGTGGCGAAATAATTTATTTCGTATCCTATATAAGCTAACAGTTATGCTGAAGTTTAATGCCTAACAGAATAAATCATCTGTTAAGCATTTACTCTACTTAAACAAAGTAAAAAAGACAAACATGGTCTAATAGTGTGGAAATAGGAAATTAATTTTTGGGCTCAATCTTAGGCCTCTTCATACCCTTTGAAGATGATGAACAATCTACATTTGTTCTCTTTAAACACTGCTGCTCGGGAGTGCTATCATCAACCAAGATGACTCCTGGGAGTGACGAAGATGTAGCTTCCAGTGGTGGTATACGCTGGATGAAACTAATTATTAAAATATAAGGTTGAAAAAATATTATTGAAGGAGGTAAAAACATGTTTAATGAGGACTTACTTGTTTTAAATTGTCATTGAATTCAATTTCATCACCAAGCTTCTTAACCGTTGTTCCTTCATCACCTTTCTTCAGTAGTTTGGCTTGATAAGTTTGCACGATAGCTTCATCTTTTTCCACTCTAAGCACGGTAAAAGAAGCATTACCACTATATTTAAATTGGTCCTTTCGTGTGACAATCCTAAACATCATTGTCTTCCCAATCAAGCCTTCAATTTCATTGGGCAAGCAACCATCCTAGTTCAACCAAAATAGATAAAAACAAAAAAAAAAATTATACACGGGATAATATTAATATATTCAAAATCGAATAGTTGATTGCTAAGATATATGGATTCACGTACTTCAGAATGTTTTTCTAATAACTTGCCAGCAGTAATTCCTAATAGTGTCGAACAAATATTGTCCCAAAGTAGAAGATGGCCATCCTGGTCATCATCCAGGACATCAATCACCACTTTGTACTTAATTATTCCGTCTGGCCAGTGTTTATCGCATGCCTTACAATACATTCTGTCTGTGTAGTCTTGAAGCTTCTTCCCACACCCCTTACTCTTACAGGCCTTGAAGTACCATTCGCTTTCTATGCCTAGAATTTCTCCAAGTACCCAAAATTCACCGACCTAAAAATCAATTACACAATACTTGAGAAATATAATGAGTGTCTTTTCAAATGGTTTCAATACAAACTCTAAATCAATAATTTTTACCTTCTTGTCATCATAAATATCCTTCAAAGAAGTAATTGTGACATTTTCACTCGATAAAGCTTCCAACGATCCAGATCCAATCATTCTTGAACTTGAGCTTATACTTCGTATTGGAGTAAAGAACCTAGGCATACTGATTTAAACGGATTATCCGAAATCATCAAATTGTTTGAAATACAATATTATACGAAGTGGTAAATTTAAAACCGACACAATACCTCTCCTTGAAATTGAGCAACTCAGGGCACTCATGGTTGAACAGAATCTTTGTTGCAGTGTAGGAACTGGATATTCTAACCTCACTGTCTAGTATGATAAACAATTTTAAATTATAAATTTTAATTTTAAATATAGTTAAAATCGAATCAAATAAATTTATGCCTGCCACTGGGTAATTACTTACCATCATTCAACCTGGCTCTACACAGTTGTAGTATAACAGTGGATCTGTCAAATCAGCATTATAGTAAGGTAAGACAGAATCCACGTGCTCCTCCCACAGAGTAATCGTGAGCCGACTCCCCCTGAGTGAACAACAATGAACATGATGACGACTAAATTTATACTTAAACAAATTAAAAAGGTCATCTAAACAAATACATACCGAGAATCTTCAATGACAAAATCAATCAACCTTTGGGGTTTTGAATTAACTTGGATAGTTTTTGGCTCAGTAATGGAAACTACACGGCCAATCAAATCTGCGAAAACCAAACAAAAGATTTTAAATTGTCATTCATGAATATACTATTAGAAATTTAGTATAACAAAAACAAATGAGAACACATCTAGTATAGAACAAAATTTAAAGAATAACTTACCAATTAGCCGATTGCAATCCACTCCTCCAGGAGCTTTCAACGATCCAAAATCTTTAAATTTGAACATGTGTTTGGGAAAATCATATCCATCTAGATCTGTGACGCTGATCAAAGTGTCGTTGTTCGCTTTCATCATGTACTTATGTTCACACGACTTGAACTTCATGCGACACGTTTGCACAAGGAAATTGTGAATATCATACACTTCCCCTTCCTTTAAGAGCTTGTTGAATTTTAAAACAAACTCTTTTGGAATTTGTAAATGAATGCAAGTTCCCTGATGAAGATCATGTCATTCGTACATGTAACGTGAATTTAAAAACTAAGCCACCAAAACATAGTAAACAATATGATTATAAAGTAAACAATATTGATGTTATGTTTTTAATACATATTTTCTATTTTATTTAATTTTTAATATTCACTAAAAATTTCCCAAACATGGGCGGGAAAAAGAAACCTGGGGGTGTTTGTATTCATACTAATTCGAACGAATCGAAGGATCTCACGCCATTAGTTTGCCCCACATCAATCCGAATTGGGGGTGCCACAAACCAGACAAAAAAATGCAATAATGTGCTTCCGTAGAATCCACATCAATCTATTCAATATTATATTCATACTAACTCGTAAACTAATAATAATAAAAATAAAGAATTATTGCGTTTTATTAAAAAAGCGTAGAGCATGCAAAAAATTAATAAGATTATAAGATTATCAATTCCACCAGAAATAAACATGTACTATAAACCGCTGAACTATAGTAATTATATTCACCTGGGAATCATGGAATAAGCATTCCACTGTTTGTTGGTTGACTGTGGAACGTGGATATTCCCTTGACAAATAACAGCGCATCAACCGGAGTCTTATACAACTTTTTCTTGTCTTTGGGGATAGGCTGGAAGCAGAGACAAAAATAGATTCCATTAGTATTTACTATTTGAATAATCGAACGAAAATTCCTTCGCAGATTCGAAATGGAGGTGTTGAATTGTGTGGGCAGATTATAAGATTTCTAGTATTTATAGTGTCAGATTTATTTGTATTCTCCTATTGTATTACGAATAGGGATTTTAATGTACAATTGTAATACAAATAGGATTGTAGGAATTTTAAAGTAGAAAACAATATATTTTATTTGAAATATATTGTCCTATTGTATTACAAATAGGAATTTTAATGTAGAATTATAGTACGAATATGAAAGCATTCGGAATGAATATATTGTTCGGATAATTAGGGTCTCGTATTACAAATAGGAATTTTATTAAGAATTGTATTGTATTATTTTATAATATTAGAATACCAATTTTAATATAGAATTATAATACGAATAGGAAAGTAGAAACCAATATATTTTATTATGAATTGTATTAGACTATTTTATTAGGAATTGTATTGTATTATTTTAAAATATTAGAATAGAAATTTTAGGAATTGGGCGGGAAATTAAAACTTTAGGATTTTGTTTTTATATATAGTATAGATTAAGGTTGGGATTATCTTGGACTCTTCATTTCCTTAGAACAACCTCATTAGTAGGAGACATTTGGTAGTTTTTACTTTGAGAAAATTTCAATTTTGGTCCACTGACTATTGGGGTTACGTTGTATTAATTGCAACACTTGACTTTCAAAAATATTAATTTAGTACCTTGACTATGCAATTTTTATCAATTTTGGTCACACCGGCCTAATGTGACCGGAAAATTTAAAATTAACAATTAGTCTTAAATGGGAGGGGCAAAATCGTCATTTCATGTGACTTTCTTCTTCTTCCATTCCTTGCACCGGCCGGTCGAAATTGCAGCGCCATTTCCGGATGACCAAAATAGGACGATGACTTCTTCCTTGCACCATTTCCGTCCAAAGGTGGGCCCTTCTGCGTCGCATTCTCGTCCGCCGTGCCACCCTACCTTGATCAGTCCCGGGAACTCAAGCGCCGGCGTTCCGTACACGTACGTCTCTCCGTAGCTGGCAAACGACGGGAAGCCATTTTCGATAGTGAAATCTCCTTCGTGCCCCTCTTTGATCCGCCAGTAGGAGACGTTCGTCTCTAGCGGTTAACCAGAAGCACCACCCGGGAATCGGTGATCTCTGTAACCAGTTTTCGATAGTGAAATCGCCAGTCAGGTTATCTCTCTCCACGCCGTTAACTTCCACGTGGTCTCTCAGAGTCGCGCCGTGTTTGACAGCTAGTGCTTGGAACATGGAAACGGCTTTGGTCGGCGCAAATCTCATATTCATGTCCTATTTTGGTCTTACAGAATTGGGTTAGGAAGAAGTCATCGGAATTGCGCTGTCGGTGCAAAGAATGGAAGAAGAAGAAGAATGTCATATGAAATGACGATTTTGCCCCTCCCATTTAAGACTAATTGTTAATTTTAAATTTTCCGGTCACATTTGGCCGGTGTGACCAAAATTGATAAAAATTGCATAGTCAAGGTACTAAATTAATATTTTTAAAAGTCAAGTGTTGCAATTAACACAACCCCAATAGTCAGTGGACCAAAATTGAAATTTTGGTAGGAGACATTTGGTAGTTTTTACTTTTTACAAGTCCACATAAGAGAGAGAAACAGGGAAAAAAACTGGAGTTTCCAAAAAAGAGGGGTGGGGTGTGGGGGTTACGTGTCCAACGGGGGCGCGCCCGACTTGACACATTTGGTGCGCAACACGCGCACCAGAATAAAATTTTGTTTAATTTCATTTTTTTGGGTAGACCCCCCCCCCCCCCCCCCCCCCCCAAAAAAAAAAAAAAAACACCTTGCAAGGAGACTTGATTTTTTTCTCTCCTATGTTATCTTTTCCTCACCTCATACTTGGCCCCACAAAAAAAAAAAACCATCTAAAAACCACTAATGGTAATGCTCTAAGACGAGGCTATGTTGAATAAAAGAAAAATAAATTTTTCCATCCAATTAAAATAACGTAGTTTTGAGGTCTTGCATGCAAAAGTGTGAAAAGAAAAGTGAAAATATTTTCAATCTCTTGCTTGTGAAATAATCTTTTGACTTAATTGGTTGTTCAATTTTTTTTTTTTACTCAGAAAAGTAATCATTATTATTACATGATCAATTTCCTACGCAAATATAATATCTTCAAGACGTTATTATATGACCAATTTCCAATGCAAATGTAATATCTTTATATCTTTATATATAATAAAATCCCTAGAATTGGCCAATGAAATTTGTTATGTAAAGTAACCATTATTATTCTATGATAAAAAATCAATGCAAATATAATATCTTTATATCCTTATATATATAATAAAACCTCTAGATTTGTAAAGATCGGGAAAAAATGAGACTTTTGAAGATATTGATGTATTTTCGAAGTGGATAGCTGCTAGGTGATGGATTGATTGGTGGGCTAAATGATGGGTGTGCAATAATAAACATTCCGGAACAAAATGTATTGCGGCCACATGGAGATTCGATTGCAGCAATAGTAAATAGTACGTTCCCGGATTTTTGCTTAGGCAATTTTGATATGGAATCTCTAAATAGTCGAGCTGGAATTTTGATATGGAATCTCTAAATAGTCGAGCTATTCTGGCTCCAATATTAGATTTAGTTCGTGAAATCAATGAGTACATGAGTGGATTGAATCTGTTAGTATAGTTAAATATTTGATATCATTGTATGGCTTAGATTAGTTGACCAATTCCATAGCCTATTGTACAGGGGCTTCTATTGCTAGTATTATTGTATTAGGTATTCATATATTGAATGAATTGATTCTTTCCCAATCTCATCTGGTATCAGTTAGCCATGCTTATCCCTTTTTCTCTCTCCTTCCTCCAACCAAGAATGTCGAGCGATTCATCGGAAAAAACACCGACGACAACCACCGTTTCCTCCCTAAACACCAACCCCAATTCTCTAAACTCCGCCCACCATTTCGTTTCGATAAAATTAACCAATCGCAATTACCTCTTTTGGAGAACCCAAATCATCCCCTTTCTCCGTGGCCAAGGCTTGTTAGGCTACGTTGACGGTGATCGTCTATGTCCATCACCGACCTTGGAAGTTCCCGCCGGCGATGTCTCCGACGACGCTATCTCCGCCACGATAAACCCGGCTTATGGTGCCTGGGTTCAGCAGGACGCGTCTATACTCTCTCTGCTCATCTCTTCCTTATCTGAGGAAGTGATCCATCTGGTTGTTGGCAAAACCACCGCACACAAAGTCTGGAAGGCCATTGAGACCGCACTCGGCTCCTCCACGCGAGTCCGGTGTCTCAATCTCCTCGGGCAGTTTCAAGCCCTCCGGCAAGGAGACAGTATGCCATCGGAGTATTTAGGACGCGCCCAGCTACTGGTGGAGGATCTCACACTCGCCGGCTGTGACACCTCGAAAATCCTATCCTTTAAATAGGATTAATTGGATAATTAATCCTAAGTCATCCTTGTGGACTTTCTTATCAATTTCCCAAATTGATAGTCGGAGGACTTAAATTGACTAACTCCTTGGTCAATTGATTTAAGTCAAAAAGGGGGACATTTAGCTTTGATGGTTGTACCTAACTCTTTGGGGTCTTCCTAAATTTTTCTAGGGAAAGTAAGGGCATTATAGCCTTTTCACTTTTGCTTGGCCTTGAAGCCTTACCCTATCAAGCCTAGACCTCATTTCCCCACTTTGAGCAAGAAAACATTTATCTACCTTCTCTCTAAGAAAAACTTGGCTTATTCTCCAAGCTAAGAAGAATCTCATGCATCCATCCTTGCTAGGGATCATTCCAAGATTCCACCTTTCCATCTCCCAAGCTTAAGGAAGGGTAAGAATTAGGATTAGTTGGTGGTTTTAATTAGCTTTACCTAGCCTTTATCTAAGATTAGTGTTTTCCTTGTGGTTTTGGTTGTGTAAGAGGATTTGGTTGAAGAGGAACTTCAAGGAGAAGCTCAGGAGGGTAAAGAAAGAAGTCTTTTGGTCTACAAAGGTAACCCATGCTATACAAAACCTATTTTCTACTTGCTATTGATGATTCTTGGTGTTAATGTGAGATTTGAGGCATAATCTTGTGTTTATGCATGTTTAGAGATTGTATCTAGGATTCTTAAATCATATTCTTTGGGTTATTCTTGTGTTCAAGTCATTTCCTTGTTGTATGTGAGATTTTGGGTATTTTAGACTTGAACTTGACCTTGTAGATGAATTTC